GTGTTATTTTTGTTCAGAATATTTCATATGTTCACATGAAATTCTTTTGAGTAATTGTTTTTAATCAAGATACATAATTTATTTTTATAATAATTTTTAGAGAAGCTCTATGGTTATTTCTTACTTAATCTTGTGCAGAAAATAATGTATTAAATATTTATAATATACTTTTTGATATCCTGAATCATACAATTTAAGGAAAGGCCTTCAAAATTTTTAATGTAGTTTTGAAATTCTATTAGAAGGGAGTAGAAATTATATCATCATATTGATAATAATTGTAATAAATTTGAAATTTTTACAGTTGTAATATATTTTAATAAATCTCTATTTTCTAATAGCTTCTAAAAAAATAATAGAAATATTGTATGAACAATATCATTATCTTCTAATTACACACACACATACACACACACACACACACACACATTTCATAAAAATATAATAAGCATTTTTGTATTTATTTAAACATCATAAAATATGGAAGCCAAAGGATATCTTATAATGAATGCTAGCATACTGCTGATAACCTGAAAAATATTAATTTTGTGTATATTTTAATTATATCTACTTATTTAAATAAAAATTACCTGTATTATCAATAATATGGATGTAAGTGTTGGTTCTCTCATTGGACCAGCATGGATCAGTATAAAGTTAATCAAAGTTAGGTTGTTGCAAATTATAATACCTTTCTCATCTTCTTGCCATTTTACTAATTTAAATGTTTTTAATATCCATGTCAATAATCTTCCTAATTAGATAAAAGATATAATTCTCTAAATAATTATATGAGCAGTTTTTTCCTTACAAAATAAATTATACTATCATACCAAGTGCATTAAGTTCCGATTTGTGAAATATAGTTACACTAGGTTCCAATTTATCCGTTTCTTTGTTATATCTGCGAACAAAATATGTATGTAGATTTTAAAAAATTTTTCAACGGTATCTTATTTTCAAAATTTACTTTGGTAATCTGTGTCTAGGACATGACACAAGATGAAACAGCTGCGGTATGCTGTACAGAAAATTGATTATCTGCGGGATAAAAAACAATAAGGTTGTCTTACTGAAATGACCTAGGATACCGACGACAGCAAAAGTCATTCCTGACAAATAGCAAAACGTGTCGCCCACGAAAACTTGTGATGGATACCTTGAACAAAATCCATGTATATTCAATTTTACAAAATACGTAATATTCCTTCAATGTTGTAAAATATATTTATAAATTTATATTCATTTATGCACGTAACAAATTACAGAGCGGATTATCAATTCATCAATTCTATATTACATATACCAATTTTACATAACATATTACGCAAATTTTTTTCTATACAAATAAAAATTGTAAACGCGCGTGGGACATCGTCCCGAGAGGACATTTCAAATCGAGACATCGCGCCACTGCTTCATGAACCAAGAGGCCACCATGATGACTACAAACGCGTGAATCTTGAGAATCGTGTCTGATTGCAAGGAAAGAAATTGAGCGACATCGAAAACTATCGCTTTATCTGCCTAACTAATTCTCGTCGGATTAATGATCCAACTTCTGACTCATGGGCGGGTCCGCTTCGTCTGTAGAACAGATTACTCATGCATTGCAACATGGAACGGAGGAACGGAGGGGTGGTATGTAGCTACAGTAGATGAGATGCCCCCGTAAGACGCGTGCGCCTCGCAAATAGTCACGATCGGCGAGAGTGTGTTCGTCGACCAGCACCGGGCGGGATCGCCGGCTGGCTGGCTGGCTGGTTGATTTTGCTTGCGCTCGCTTGCTTGGTGCGGCACTCGGGCGTGGTTTTTCACGTCGTCGCGGTGCGCGCCTGGTCAGGGAGGAGAGGGAGAGAAGTTGCACCTGGATCTCGGGGGGCGCTCCTCCTTCGCCGCGGCTAGTCAGCCCGCCTGAGTCAAGCAGCGACTATCGACGGGACTAGAGATATGCGCGGTATCACGCGGCGTCGCCGGTCGTCGATCATCGTATAGTCGTCGTGGGATCCGGCAATTACGGATATTGCGAGTTAAATGGCACGTTGTATCGCGGTGACGTCATCATACGAGCATCACGGGGTCCTGGTGAGATCATCGTCGAAGGCGTCGTCGCTGTCGTCGCCATCGTCATCGTTAGACAGCATTGTGAGCGGTGCCTTATTACATAATGTTGTGGGCGAGGAGTACACGCGTACGGGGCGGAGGTTGCCGGGATATTTAACTCGCGCGGAATCCAATCGACAGGCGATATTCCCTGCAATGCAGCGGATCGGTGACGCGAATTCCGCTTATCTCACACGACTGGAAAGAATATCATGAATGATGAATCAGACAAATATACGGGAATATATGAAAGAAATATCATGTTGAGAAATCAGGTCAACAAATTTCTCATGTTAAAATTTTCTATAATTCGCATTAGATTTCAGAATAAATCCTTTTGTATGTGTGCGCGCAGTTTATATGCGCGTTCATTGCGATTTTTCAATTGTTCTCTACACATTGCGTGGCGCATAAAGTTATTATAAAATAGAATTCCATCCTGTATTCTAATACGAATTATAGATCGTCTACAGTGGGTTTCGGGTAGAAATGCATAATGCAAAAAATATTGTGGATCCAAAAAGAAAAATTGAAGATTGAATAAAATTCAGATAAAAAGGTAAATTTAAGTTACTGATTTTGTTCTCAGATAATGCTCATGGGATTGTAATTTCAACGAAGATGTCTCAGATAACGAGCAAGATTTCTCTCCAGGAATATAAGATGAGAAATTGAATTATTTGAGCACAGGGATTGGTGCCATGCAGGTCCGTCTAGATGGGAAGCTGGCGTTGCTGTATACTCTATTGGTATTACAAGTTCTGATTGTTATGGTCTACGTAGCCACAACTCCGCCAGCCGAGCTAGCTGTATCAACGACTCGTGCATCCGTCAGTTTTGTCAAGTTCGAGGCGTCACAGGTGCTGTGAATTAGCGATTGGCAATATAAATAATTTTATTCGAAATATTCTAAAACTAAAGGTTTCTTATTTTATTAAAGGAATTGCACGTGAGTCAGGGCAATCGTAAAAAATCACCAATCTACCAGACAATCAATAGGGAGGTAACATTGAAGGATGTCAAGACGTTTAGATTGTTTGAAGTATACAATCGTACCGTATGTTGGAAGTTTGGAGTGGACCAGCATAAAATGAAAAGCAATGAGCATTTGGAAAAATGTATTTGCAATCACGGGTGGCACGGCTTGGATTGCGGACAGCCAGAAGTCGTGTGGAGAGCGATCATGGCGTCGAAGCAAAATGTCAGTCTAAAACGTCGTAAGACCGCCAGACACATTATTCATACCTTTTTCTTGAGCGACTACAATTCGGCGATTGCCGAAGTAATAGTAGAGGAACTCTACAATGTGGTGGATCTTTTCGTAATTTGCGATTTCAACAACGCAGAGGACAACTTCCGTCATAAGTTATCTAAGGGATTGCTGCAGCGGGAGCAGAAGAAGATTTTATACATCAACGTGGCGTCCAAGTCTCGTAAACCATCTAGAATAATATCGAGATATGTTTGGGATAAAATCAAGACTGTGGTGCCGAATTTAAAAGACGACGATATCTATGTAACAACAGAACCGGAGCAGATACTGAATTCCAGGGCATTAATGTTCCTTAAAGTGTATGATGGTTGGCCTCAGCCCATTGGGTTTAGATTAAGATGGTCGATATACGGCTTTTTCTGGCAGCATCCACTCAAGACAACGATCACGCTCGGCGCATATACTGTCGGCTTGATGTGCAACGCCTATCAATCCAACTCGCTTGTGCTGCGACAGCAGTTGGACGGAGATACCAGTGAAAGAGATATTTTAGGATTAGTCATAGGAGATTTGAATCACTACGGCGGGTGGTATTGCAATCTGTGTCAAGCGCCCGCAAATATTATTATCGATCTTCGCAATAAAGTCCAATCTAAGGAGATTTATATCGAGAAGACTATCGATGTACCGTTCGTCGAGGACCTAATAGGTAGCGGACTATGGTTGGACGGTAAAACGAGTCTTCTAAGAGTCTCTAAGTCCAGGGATTCCTACTTCGCGCCAGAAACGATTCTCAACAATACATGGAAGTACGACTGGCTGGTAGAAAATTTTTACGCTAAATTAGATTATTACTGACGTACTGGTCGCACCCGACTGTGATATTAACTCATACTCAATACTCAATGTACACTAATGTAATATTATATCGAATTTATACACTAAATATTACGTTGACGAAATATAAATGTTAAATGGTTTATACATATAACTTATACACGCTTGGACATTCAAATCTTTCCTAATCCGAAAACGCTCCTTCCACATAAGTTACTATACGTTATCGTGATATAAATAGTTGCTATCATCAATAATAATTTTATATCAAAAGAAATGACATTCTTTAATACAACTTACCAATTAAATTTGAATAATGCGAGAGAAGTTGCTATATAAGGTAGCATAAAGTATATTGAAAACTGATGCGCCTTCCACTGACTGCTGTATAATTCTACGATGTTGAAGATAAGAATACTCGTAGCGATGATTAAACTTTGTCCAACTTCCAAACCATTTATCCCAGCTAATATATTTATAGCATTTGTACAAAACACTGCCAACATTCCCATATATACATAATAGAAAATCCACAAATCTAGTGAAAAACCGAACCAGGGTCGCAACGGTTTTGGTATGATGATTATTGTGGAATTAAAGTTAACATAATAAACCATCAGTAATGGCAAGGATGCTATAGTAGGCAAAAGTAGTTTATGTCGCCAACGAAGATTCAAGACGTCGTCAGCAAAACCCAGAAATAACATGCAACATATCGACAGTAATGCAGCCAGAAATTCAACAAACTGTAATAAAAAGCGTTTTATCTTATCTACAAATTTATATATACTTTGAAATTAAATGCAATAATATTGTACATCTTATCCTGTATTTTTTAATTGTATTCTATAATTATTTTATAATTATTTTTCAAGTTAATAATTCTAATTTAATTTTCTAAGATCAGACTCAATGAGAAGAAGAGTTAATTCTAACTGATATGTTTGTTACCTTATCATGTGGAAAGTTTTCATTTCTAATTATGCAATCTGTAAATGGTATAGGAATAAATATGAACATTGTAATAAGAAATAAGCATCCAGTGACAACACCTATCGCCTCTGGTCTGTAAGAATAAACCGGCTGTATGAAAGCATTGTTGTGTATAGGACACATATAAAACATACGACAATAATAAATTATTTCACATCAGATAAATCTCTCGGAAACTAAACGATCAACTTTCTTAGATAAAACATAAATAAAATTAGAATTACAAATCACAAAAATCTAGTAGTCTATTAAAATTAAAAAAACATACAGAAAAAGGAATTGATCGGTCTAATTTCTGAGACTCAAGTGACAGTTTAGTGCATTCTCGTCTCACTTACACTTTCTCACTACTCCTTTTACTCATGTCGATGCCATAGAGATTAGCCGCAACGAACGTGGACTTTATTCTCGGAATCAGACGAACAGTCGAGACATATGCGATCGCGGACAACACCGCATTGATGCATACCGGGAAGAGCATCTTCCAAGTATCGTTCTCGGCATTCATCATCGACGATCCGTAAAACTGATCTCAGATTCTCACCCACCCGCGAGTCAATACGCGATTGGCTCCGACAAGCGGAGAAAAAGCCGGTGCTTTCTCGCTACGCCGATAACGCGATTGCGACATGATGCATCGTTACCGCACTTGTTAAACACATACCATGCATACCGCAAATATTTATCTTCTGCCTCGTGGGCGCCGCCATATTCGACGTATCGATCTATCGACGATCTATCGAAAATCGACCATCGTCGATCGAGAGCTCCGAAACGGAGAATCTAAAAAAAAAAGAAAATTAAAAAAAATAATATTATCGAAACATTTAGCGCATATTGCCGAAGTGATGCCACAGATTCTTACAAAGAAAAATTTTCGCTTCTTCTTCTTCATAATTTCGCCTTTTTTCCCATTACTTTGTCCAGTTACTTTATCGATATTGCCAAATAGTAGATTCTCTTGACATACTTCCCACACGTACAAAAATTATTAGGATATATCGATAATTGTAATGTGTTATTCGTCGTTTTGTAGATATAATATGCTTTTTCCTCTCTCTTTATTTTCGCATCGCAAAGAAAGGTGAACACTTGAATCAGGCAGTCGAACGCTGTGCAGGCGCTACACGCAGTGTCATCTTCATCATTAGTCATAGATTTTCAAGCACAGTCTCGATACGTGTTTATTTACGAGGTAACCAACAAGATTTTCTGTTTTCATTTCATCCTGTCACTTCACGATCATCGGAGTGAGCGTAGGTCGCATTGCGCAAGATTTGATGTAAATTCGCAATCATTCGGTAAACGTGAAATTACCCCAAGAATCAACGGACGCATAACCCTCTCTCGTACCGTCGAACGCAACATGCTCCGTTTTTGACAGCTAGATTGCAAAGTGCGAGACGATTAATCACAAGACCCGAAATCGTGCGCTCTACGAATTTCTAGAAATTCGGTAAGAACCGCTAATTTTTTTATACAAAAAGAAATTCATGCCTAATAATCCAATAATCGTTCTTATCTTTCAGTCGATGGACCACGAGAAACAGAAGGATGAGATCACCGCGTTGGAAAGCATTTACAATGAGGAGGAATTCTCGTATCACGAGGAGAACGGCCAGTATGAATGCAGCTTCAAAATATTCGTGAATCTGCCGGCCAAATGTCACTTGTCGTATAAAGATCTGAGACACGAAACGGATTTGGCACAGGAAGTACAGATTTCATATCTACCACCTTTGACATTACACGTTACGTTACCAGAGGATTACCCATCCGTGTCTGCTCCTACGTTCATGTTATGTTCCTCTTGGTTGTATCCGATAGTACTGTCTAAGTTATGCAGAAAACTCGATTCGTTATGGGAGAGCAGCAAGCAAGAGATTCTCTTTACATGGGTAGAGTTCCTCCAGGATGAAACGCTCAACTTCTTAAAAATTAAGGACCGTCTGGATATGGATCACATGTATACGTCTTACAAGAGAGCACTGGAAAAATTGCAGGTCTCTCAAGCAAACAAGGAAACAGGCGAGTCTAATAAACAATGCAACAGCGAGGCCAGAGAGAGCGGCATGTCAAAGAAAACCAATGTTCTTGACAAAAGAGCCATTCTAGATTGTCCAATCGGTAGGAATCCTATCCAGATGTTAATCGATTATAATGAGAAACGGAAACAGGTCGAATTCAAAAAGAATTTTTATACGTGCAACATCTGCTTCACTGATAAATCAGGAGAGCACTGTACGCAGTTTCTGCCTTGCGCTCATATCTTCTGTAAAGATTGCATCAGAGGCTATTTCGAAGTGAGGATCAAGGAGGGAAATGTACAAAATATTTGTTGTCCTGAAGAGAAATGCAAGTTTGAAGCTACGCCTAGCCAGGTAATTATTTCGGTTAATTAGTTCTTATTTTTGCGCCAATTAACATCGAGAAAAATGAAATTTTTATAATGCGTCTATGATCATTGGTTCTGTTGTAGGTAAAAGAATTGGTAAGTTCGGAGTTATTCTCAAAATATGATTCCTTACTGTTAAGTACCACGTTAGACACCATGATGGATATAGTTTATTGTCCGAGACGACATTGTCAGTATCCGGTAACTCGCGATCCTGATGATAATATGGCAAGATGTCCAGTTTGTCAATACGCATTCTGCGTTCGTTGCAAGATGGTTTATCATGGTGTAGAACCCTGTAAAATTAGTTCAGGTATGCGCATATAAATCCAATGATATTACCAATGATATTTGCATTTTACATACATCATTAATGTTACTTACTTTTATTCTATTTACTTTTAAATCAAAAATTTGTTATAAATTGAATTTTTTATATTTTATATAACGATCTAATGTATATTACGTGATGTACTTCTCATTAATAGCTGAAAAACAACGATTATTGAAAGAATACGAATCAGCCAGTAACGAAAAGAAAGCCGAAATGGAGAAATATTATGGGAAGAGACAACTTCAAACGATGATGGAGAATACCATGTCTGAAAATTGGATCAATGATAACAGTCATAATTGTCCTCACTGCAAAACTGCAATCGAGGTATTAAATTTATCTTATAGTTGTACGATTATGCTTGTTTCAATTGCGGATAAATTATTCGAATTGTTTTCGAAAAGAAATCGGATGGCTGCAACAAGATGACGTGTTCACATTGTGGCACATATTTCTGTTGGTTATGTGGCACGCGGCTGAATCCCGAGGCGCCTTACTTACACTTCCGAAATCCTGAATCTAAATGCTTCAACATGTTATATCGCGGTGTAATACCCGATGAACTAGATGATGACGATGATTTCGATTTTCACGCCGAATACCTGGACTACTATTCCGAAGATGAAGAGTATATTCAAGATGAAGATTTCGTATTGGAATTAGACGATTGAATCAATGTTGAAAAAATCAATTACGGATTTAATTTTCGAATTTATAATATATATATATATATATATATATATATATATATATATATATAATATAACATTGATTTTTAAAAAAAATAAGTTGATCATGATAAATATAGACGCATGTTTTTACAGAAAATGCATTGTAAATTTTAGTTAAATTTGAAGAATCATGTAAATGTTTTTATGAACGTATATGGATCGGATCATGAAATTATCATTGTAAAATGAATTATTGCAAAATATACAAATTATTTTTTCAATAGTATCATCAGTTTCTTGCTCTCGCACATAAAAACATTTTACTTGAAAAACATGTTTTGAATAACGACAACGAACATCCAAAACTTTGTCAATATATTTTACCAAAAAATTTAAAATGAAGATAAATCTTTTTTATATTTAAGTTACCTTAATTACGATGGCATTGTAATCTTTGCAAAATCGATTTCTTGGTTATACTAAGGTATCGCGTCGAATATTATAAATCAATATTTGCGGAGCAAAGAAGCATTTACTTCAATGTGATTCGGGAAAGAAAGGTGAATATATCGATTAGATGCAAGATTGCGTTGCAAATGCATTCAGTTACTTTATTTCAAAACACATGGAGATATTTTCAAAGCCATGAGATAGGGGGGGGGGGGGTCGGCATTTTAATATTCTTCGGCGCCCTCTTCGCCCTCGCCTTCGGCGGAATCCATTCCGACTTCTTCATAATCTTTCTCGAGCGCAGCAAGATCTTCACGCGCCTCGGAGAACTCTCCTTCCTCCATACCCTCACCGACATACCAGTGAACGAATGCGCGCTTAGCATACATAAGATCGAACTTGTGATCCAAACGGGCCCAGGCCTCTGCGATGGCAGTGGTGTTCGACAACATGCAGACGGCGCGCTGGACCTTGGCAAGATCACCGCCGGGTACGACGGTCGGCGGTTGATAGTTGATGCCGACCTTGAAACCAGTGGGACACCAATCGACGAACTGAATGGTACGCTTCGTCTTGATGGTAGCGATTGCCGCGTTGACATCCTTGGGTACGACGTCGCCACGATACAGCATACAACAGGCCATGTACTTGCCATGGCGCGGGTCACATTTGACCATCTGATTAGCCGGTTCGAAACAGGCGTTTGTAATCTCCGAGACGGAGAGCTGCTCATGGTAAGCCTTCTCGGCTGAGATAACGGGCGCATACGTCACCAGGGGGAAGTGGATTCTTGGGTAGGGTACCAAGTTGGTCTGGAACTCAGTCAGATCGACGTTCAGGGCACCATCGAACCGCAGAGAGGCTGTGATAGACGATACGATCTGACCTATCAGGCGATTCAAGTTGGTATAGGTCGGCCTCTCGATGTCCAAATTACGACGGCAAATGTCGTAGATCGCCTCATTGTCAACCATAAATGCACAGTCGGAATGTTCAAGAGTGGTGTGTGTCGTCAGAATGGAGTTGTACGGCTCAACCACGGCAGTAGAGACTTGTGGTGCGGGATAAATGGCAAACTCGAGTTTCGATTTCTTGCCATAGTCAACGGATAAACGTTCCATCAACAGAGATGTGAAACCAGAGCCAGTGCCACCGCCGAACGAATGAAAGATGAGAAAACCTTGCAGGCCAGTACATTGATCTGCAAGCTTGCGAATGCGGTCCAGCACAAGATCAACAATCTCCTTGCCAATCGTGTAATGACCACGAGCATAGTTGTTTGCAGCATCCTCCTTGCCAGTGATCAATTGTTCCGGGTGGAAGAGCTGGCGATAAGTTCCAGTGCGAACCTCATCTATACGCACACAAAAATTTAAATAAATAAAATTATCAAAGTATTAACATTAATAAATTATATCGTATAGAAATATACATACCAACTACAGTAGGTTCCAAATCGATAAAGACAGCCCTGGGTACATGTTTGCCAGCACCAGTTTCGCTGAAGAAGGTGTTGAAGCTGTCATCTCCACCTCCAATAGTCTTGTCAGACGGCATTTGACCGTCCGGCTGGATGCCATGTTCCAGGCAATACAATTCCCAGCAGGCATTACCGATCTGCACTCCGGCTTGTCCAACGTGGATTGAGATGCACTCACGCTAAACGAATCATATGGACATTAATATTATAAGATTTTGAGTCTCAAATTTTTATTACAAAAAGCCGTGAAAAATAAGTTTGCGAAATAAATGAGTTTGCGGACGCGACCGGAGGTTTATTGATTTTCTACAATGGCTCACCGGGGTCAATGACTCTTAATATTCATTAAATGGAATATTCTAGAAACTCAGATAAATGAAATATCCCAGAAATTCAGATAATCATAGCAAAAGATTAGCAAAAATTGATCAGATGCGCGATATGAATTTTTATTATAACAAAGGCGTGACGACGTGAGCTAAAATAGCAAATGCCGTGACCGGCCGGCGTTTAACCGTTACAAGATGGCCGTCGTCTTCCGTGCGAGGCTCGACATTTTCACGAAAGAAACCGCTTCTACGATCTCTCATTACTCACCATTTTGTATTATAGGTTGTTCGTTGTTGTCTTCTTAGAAAACGGAGCTAGGAATAGCCACGGGGCGATCGATAGTTGGCGAAAGCAAGTAATGGAGCTTTTGCTAACAACTATACGACGTACAACGTCCGATCGACGACCAGCGACTGTTGGGCGTGCGACGCCTACTGCGCGCTATTTATACCCGTTGAAATCGACCGTTCCAGCGCGCGCTGATTGGCCGGTGGTGACGTCGTATCGCGCGCTGATTGGTCACGCGCAAGACCGCAGCACGCATCATGCTCGATTGCCGTTCTCCACGCGAGACGATGTAGTGCGAGGTCCGTTGACTCTAATTCGAATTATTTTTTCTCTCTAAGGAATAATTCTCGCCTTTTTCCGGATCTCGAGTGCGATTCATAAAGCGGGATCGTAAAATTATTTATATGCATTTCTTTGAGAACGGCGACGCGGACTTTCGCCGCATTTTGGAGCTTCATTTCGCTGTCACCAAGCAAGGGTTTTATGTCAATTGCACCATATATGGGCTGCGTCTTCCCGAGGCGCGGTCGAGTCATTTCTCTCCAGTCATTTCTTTTTTTGGCAAACGAAAATCTGCCCATGGGATGTCGAATGGAGGACAATGATCGAATCGCCTTGAAAAGCGGATTCATTGAATAATTTTTCAATTCTTCGTCCTCACGCTAAATAATTAGCGTTATCTCAGTATCTGGAGATCATTTCATGATCTGATTCTCCTTTGAGCTTCGCCCGAATGCACTTCATGTCGACAATGATTGTGTCTGTCGATAATATAAGTACAGTTAAGTTGTTGCATGCCAGAATAATTCGCTCGCTGTCTGGAATTCACGAGGAGGGAAGCTGAAAGAGGTATCATGTCCTCAATTGACATTAATGTTGTCATAGGTTTTAATTTCGACGAAATATCAAATTGCATGCGAGACGAGGAGAAAATATCAAATTTTTCATCGTATAGTTGTCACTTGATTTGTTTAATAATACAATTTTCTACAATGTCTAATGTTACAAATGATTCATCTCTTACTTTTGCAAAAATTAAAATTTATTTTAATGATTTCCTTCTAGAAATAAATCTTGCTTTTAAAACCCGCAACACGCGATGTCTCTAATTTAACTTAATTTTCCTGTAATCTTCTAATTGAATGCTTCAAACAATGAGAAAGTAGGTTGGAGATAATTATCCCAATATCTAAGAGATAAAAAGAGGAGCTATAACAAGATAAAAAAAAACATATAAATCTAGTCAGTATGTTTGCACAAAATTTACAAAGAAAATTAAACATTAAAATTATTTGCTTCTTTTTTTTTGTTTGCTTTCAAACAAAAGTTGATGAAAAAAAAAGCAGATTAATATTTTAACATTTTTATTATATCAAGAATAGATATCAAGATGTGTGGGCTATATCCAATTAAGCGATTACGTGGCAGATGTATTTTCCTTTGAGTATGCAAGTGAATATAACATCACATCCGCGTGTACGCACACACCACATACACATTTTTGTATGCATAATTAAAAAAAAACTTGAGAGTGGCCATCCCAGTCTTTTTCGTGACATCATCGAAATTGTCATATAGACACGATTTTATCGCAAAATAGATGTTTTATAATAGTTTCGAGTGGAACCTAATCCAGGTTAGTGCACTCGCTTTTTTCGTTCTTCCTTTTTTCTAACGCTGCCATTTTATGTCTATCTCATTTTAGGTGCAAAAAGTGCACTAACCGGGTTAGATTCTCTTCACTCGACAACGCTATTATAATTCTAAATTCAATCATAGATAGTTGATGGCGGTAGTGTACAAATTTCGATGGCGTCATAAAAAAGGCCAAAATGGCCGCTTTCAGACTTCTCTTTGAATATATACATGCAGACAGAAACCTATCACAACATTTCTTATTGAATTTCGAAGAGTAAGACGTTGCGATTAATGAAAATATGACCAATATTGTACAACAAAATTTTTGAAAGTATTGATTGGTTACAAAATAAAGAAATTTTAGGGATCCAAAAACTTCACTATTCTATAACCAATCAACATGTTTAACAAATTTATCATACGACACTATAAATGTTAGCCTTAACCTATTCCACATTAATTGGACAAAATTCAATAGTGTCAATTCTAGACGCTTTTAGGATGCTGTAACTTTTTTTAGAAAGTTAAATCGCTTTATTTACAACACAGATCGAAGTGAATAAAGCATTAAGTTAATTAATGCTTGACAAATACGCGTGGTTTTTATTTAATATTGTTAGTGAGCTAGTTAATATTTATTCAAATGATTATTCGTTTAGTGTGAAAAGTTAATTTTAAGTTTTACATTACGGTGAGATTTTAGTAAAAATAGTGCGAACAAAATAAAGAGAATCAATACACAATGCAAGCAGAAGTAAATAGCATATTGGAAAAGTCACTGGAAAAAGCCAAAGAATATGATAGGATTGGAAATGTTGGAAAAGCTTTTGCATATTATATTCTTTTTGCAGAATTATCTGCAAGAAGATCAGAAATTGAAGAAACATTTACAGATGTGCTATGTAAAATTTATATATAATTTATATTTATAAACGCAACATATATATTTTATATAATGATAAAAATGATATTTAATTTCCAGGTGAATGGGGAATGCAACTAGCAGAAAATAATAAATTTTCTGACATTGTAAGGTGCTACAAATTTTCCTTGAATATTTATCCAAATAATCCTCGTATGCTCAATAATTTTTCAGCACATTTATTAAGGTAATTTCCATATCGTTATCCATAAACGTTGATTTGATAATTGCTTTCACGATAAATTTTTATAATTGCTATTTCTGATCTGAAAGACTCATGGAATGCCACATATAATTGTTAAAGGAATAACGAACCCATAAGGGCAATAGAATATTTAAAAAGAGCTTTGAAAGTTGATGTTAACTTTCTACCAGCAGAGCGAAACTTGCAAAATGCATATAGTATGGCAGTAGACAGGTGGCATTTCACAATGCTCAATGACAAGCAGAGAAATAATGCTTTCGAACAAGCCATAAGAAAGAGAATCAGTCAGGGCTATGATACAGTATTGGATGTAGGAACTGGTACTGGTCTTTTAAGTCTGTATGCAAAAAGTGCTGGAGCCACAAAGATTTATGCATGTGAATGCTCTGAAGCAATGACGTTGATTGCAAAGGAAGTATTTGAATCTAATAATGCAACTGATATAAAATTAATACCGAAATTATCATTTGATCTTAAAGTACCTGAAGATATTCCAGAAAGGTTTGTATATGCACATGTAAACCACAATGTATACTTGTATTATTTCATAATTATTCATGCATGTTAATTATTATATATTGGTTAATACTAAAACCATGTATCTGTAATTTTAGAGTAAAATTAATAGTGACTGAAACGTTTGATGCTGGCTTATTTGGAGAACTTGTAATACCATCTATGATTAATGTGCATATGAACATTTTAGATTTAAATGGTATGATAATACCTATGGGCGCGACGGTCTATGCAGCAGCTATTGAATGTGAATATATTAGGTTTAGATCATCAGTGATCTTTGACAAAATAAAAGATCACTGTCTGTTAAATTTTAACAAAGTGTTTGTGCTGTCAGACGATGAATATTACGATACAGAAAATCTGGAAAAAGTTCAAATTAATTATGTTACAGAGCCACAGATGCTCTTTAATGTCAATTTTAACAATTTAATAGAATTGTGCGAATTCTGCAAGGATGGGATAAAACAGATGCTGCAAACAAAATGTAAATATAATGGTATCATAGATGGTTTGATCACTTGGTTCAAATTACATTTGGATGAAGAGATCACGCTAGATTCCTCAGATGGAAAATCTTGCTGGCAATTTGCCGTTTTTTCGACAATACCAACCGCATGCCACGAGGATGATATCTTGACGATAAAAGCAGAAACTTTTAAGGGCAAACTGAAATGTTCCTATGATATGAGCGATGCGCGATCGAACGAGAATTATACAGTTTATCACTTGCCAAAAGAAATAATTGCTTTTCTGAATGACTTTGATTATGTCAGATTACTTACAGAAGTTGGTAAATTTCAAGAGAATAGAAAAATGAAATATATTTTAGATACTTCACCTTTTCCGATTTACGGGTTAACTCTCTTGAAGAAATGTAATGATAGTGGAATTTTATATTACAAAACTGATAATCCAATATTATGTGCTTTAATTGAGCAAATAGCTCGTGATAGTGGGCTACATGGAAAAGTGCATACAATATCGACCTATAAGGAAATTCCATGTTCTCTAGATTCCGTATTTATTCATAATTTTGACATTAAAGGTGAACTGAAAGACGATCATGATAGTTGTTATAAAATTTCTAGGTAAAATTTCTACCATATCATATATACAACATTTTTACATATTACATGCTATTTGTAGTTATATACATATTAAAATCTGTCATTTATTGTTTCAGGAACTTACTTAAAACAAATGGCGTGTTGTTACCGGAAAAGATTTTCCTTATGGGACAATTAGTATACTCGGAAGATTTACCAAATATGGTTTATGTACAAGATGAAAATGTCCAAAGATCATCTTATTTATTAAATACTGTTTGTAACCATACGGTATAATTCATATTAATGATAGTTTTTAATAATGTAAAAATAAAATTTTCTAAAATTTATTTGTTCAATATAATAATAGAATAATGAATTTTCTTTTCAGAATTTAGATAGCGAAGATTCTATGTATACACGGGATAATACAACCAATAAAGTAAATGAAAGTACAAATTATGTAATTGCTGAATACATTAACAAATATAAGGTAAAGCCATACTTAAAATTTTTCTCTAGATTGAATTTGTTGATTTTTATCTCTATATTATTCTGCTCCAGATCAACCAAATATTTGATTTGAATTCGAGTTTATATTCATGTGAGATTATGTCTGAGCCGCGAATACTAATAGAAATAAATGAAACAGAAACTACCGAAACAATAGTGAATTTTGGAAAAATAAGTAACAAAAATAGAAAAACTTTACCGAATGCCTTAATATGCTGGTATAAAGTTCAGCTAAGTCTACATCACATACATGATACAAAAAAGGATGCTTTCATGAATCATACTGCGATTGTTTTTGAAGATGAATTTAAAGACATTATTTTAAGAAACCAGGAAATAAAAATTAAAATCCATCAAATGAAAGGATTAGTGAAAATTGTAGTATTAAATGTGTAAAAGTTTACAAGAACAAATTATTTTACAATTTTGTAAAATTTTCTATGGAAAACACAATTTTTATAATATAATATCTTTCTTATGTAATATATTTTGTGTTTATTTTTTACATGATATCTTAGAACATTCCTTATTATTAGAATAAATTAGAATAAAATTATAATAAATTAGAATAAAATAAATATATGCAGGTTGTAAATGCAAATTTTATTGTTAAGTTGGAATAAGTATTAACATAAAATATGAAGTTTTTCCATAAATATAAATATACATATATATTTATAGATTTGCATCCCATTTTAAATTAAATATTAGATTATTTATACCATAACTCTCTTTAGATATTAATCTTATATTATTTATTATAAGGCTTTTTACTAAAGCTCTTTTCTCTTAAAAAATTTATTAATTTATTAATTCTCTTTCTCTCATTCTAAATTATATAATCTGTCTAAATTCTAATATATATGTGTACACACACATACATACACATACACACACGCGCGCGCGCGCACACACATAATATTTACAGCTTGCTAGAGTTCTCAGTACTCAATATTTTCTGTATAAATGGCGCGATTCTTTCTGGATTATTATTATGAACATCATGATTTCCGTTTATTTCAATTATTTCTAACTTGACTTTAGCCTTCATTACTTCCAATATAGATGGATATTCTTTATAGGGAGCAATTATTCCATGAGATGAAATAAAGACATATGTTGGAACTGAGAGCATCTTATTAAATTGTTGACATATTTCGGTAGAGAAAAATGAAAAAGGATAATTTTTATTCGTATATCCCTATTAAACTTATATCTTCCATTTATTTCTGTAACTCCACGTTCAAATAACGCCATAGCAGCTTCAGAATTCAAGAACCTCGTAGTTTTATAGATATGTAATATTTCTTCTTTAGTATAAGTTGCTGCTTTTTCATTACGAATGATTTTATTTGAGAGTACAGATGCTTTCTTAAAGTATTGTGCAATTTCATCATGTTTGATATAAGGATTAATAAGAATTCCATCTATAGTAATTAATTTCTCGATTCTGTTCGGTTGAAAAATACTAAATATTAAACCTATTTGTGCTCCCAGACTGTGTCCTATATAAATACATGATTTCCATTGTAATGCTTCGAAAATGAAATATAATGTGTAACAATAATCTATTGCATCTATAATCATCCAAGATGGGAAGTGTGACGACCATCCATGGCCAGGTAAATCTACACATACATAATAAAATAGATCCATTGGTAAATATTTCATTAATCTTGTAAACGTTCCTGCGTTGTCTTCACGACCATGCGCTAATAAAACTGGTTTTCCTGAGGGGGAACCATAAGTTTTAGCGGCAATATGACCCCAGGGTACTTCGAGTTTTATATCTGTAAAAGGTGGGTCTGCTTCTACCATCTTGTTAGTGAATCTTGTGGTATGTCTCACTTAAAGAAGTTTACTGAAACAGCATATTTTAAAAGCATTTACTAAATATCTGCGAAACGGTTCAAGATTTCAATGTTATAATATAAATCTTACATGAACACAAATCTTTTCAATATAAATCCATTTCAGTATTTTTACATTCAACATAATTGCAGTTTAGTTTCCAAATAAATGAAAACAAATAAAAGGATTATGAAAGTAATTAAAATAGAACTTAGAACATACCTATTGCACGTACCGTTATGTGAATTCTTTATGACGTTTATATCACCATGCAGATAAAAGAATGTATGAAGAAACAACTGATTATGAGTTTCTCTTTCGTTTTTCAAGAGTTTCCACGATAGCTGCCAGTATTAAACTACCACTTGAATCGACTTTGATAAGGAAATAAGGAGATAAGGAAATAATCTGAGCTAAATGTATTATAAATGTAGTCCAAAATCTCTTTGTGTGTGTAATGTTTGTGTCTTACTTTTCATTTTTGTTTAGTCATTAATAGTCATTTGGTTATCTTTCTTAAAAGGAGGAAAAAAGCAGAAAGTCATGTTAACGAATTGTTACGATTGTTTTATCCGATAAAATGTTTTTAAATCAGATATTTATCTAATGTCCGCAGTTTAAATTATAATTAGCATTGTTTTCAAAATTATGCTATGAGTTTTTATGACAGTTTTTCAGTCTACAGTTCTTTATTGTTTTAACTTAGTAGACGAGCAAATATTCATAATTTTTAAAGACAATGACAATGAAATAAAAATGATTATTTATATATGCTAGAGAGAGGGGAGAGACAGAGAGAGAGAGAGAGAGCGAGAGAGAGAGAGAGAGAATTAAATTAATAAAATATTAATAATAATCAAATTACTATTAACAAAAACACATTAATTCATTCATTTAGTAGTCTGCTTATTTGTATCATTAAGGTCACAATTAAATCACAGTAGAATATTAACATTGTGTTTATACATACATTATGAATTATCAATAATATGACTAAGTCATAGAGCGGCATTCATAATTAATTCTTATATTTAAAATTACATTTCAACTAATAATAAGATAATCGTATAAACTTTAGACACATAAATATATAAGATAATATTAATAAGATAATTTAAATATATAAGAACGGATTGTGAATCGGCCATAATCAATATCTAATTCGTAGTTATCTATCCAAACTTAATTCCTAATAAGATATATGAAATTCATATATTATAAACAACCGCAATTTATAATGTTAAGTTATAAATATGTTAATATATGTATAATTCTTAATCTTTAAAAGAAACTTGTTCATTTTATATACATGCGAACCATCGTGTATATTTTATATATGCGTAAAATATACACGTCGAATTGTTATTTGAAAACACTGCCGTTTAAAAGTTTGTCGTGTTAAATGGATGTTAAATAAATAATTTTAAATTCTAATGTAAACATTATTATTCAAGAACTTGACGATTCAAAATGTCATATGTTATAATCTCATAAATCATGGAAAATAATTTTATTTAATTCTACTAACATAAATCAATTTTAACTTTTTAGTTTAATTTCTTTTTTACTTTTTTTTTATATTAAAAATCTATATTGATAGAAATAGATATAAATAATATTTATTAAATAATTCTTATTGTTTCCTATTGTTTCCTGATACATATTCTTATTGTTTCTTATTGTTTCCTGATACATATTTTTAACTTATTAACTTATTATTTATTTTACAAAAGTGTACGCGGATTTATAATTTTATATAAAAGTTTTTTTTTATTTTCGCAGATAAGAATTATTATTTATTTCATTTTTCCTTAGAGATTAAATTAGATTGAGATTAGATTAGAACTTGTCATCCAAACAATGTTCATTAAACTTGAGATTGATTTTCTTTTGTCTGATTCATTAAATTCTAATCTCACTCTCATTCTCTAGTCTGACATCGACTGCGTTCAGCAGAAAAAGCAGATCGATGGACGTTCAGTGATTCTTTATTATGATTGATTTCTACACTTACATTCAACGAAGATCTAAAGACAAGGACCAATCATATTGAAAAATCACTGAGCGTTCACTAATCTGCTTTCTCTGCTGAACGCAGCCATCCACTTTAAGTAACGTGCGTTCCGTCAATAACATCATTCCGAACATCAATGTAGTTATATATACTAGATCACTAAGGTCTGTTCTACAATACGTCGTGTGTCGGTGCGTGGTCGTGCGCTTAAGAATGAGCCAATCACAATCAAGTATTCTCCCCACATTTGTCTGTGATTGGCCCATTCTTACGGCCCACGACCCATGACACTGACACACGATGCATTGTAGAACAGGCCTAAAGAGGATGAAATTCGTGGATGCTTTTATTTAGTGACACAAGTCGGCATAAGTATCATTTTGTCTTTGTTAATCATTGAATACCAAGAAAGATAGAATGATATCGACTTGTATCACTAAATGGAAAGCACCCCGACTGACTGTCGCTGCATTATCGGCGGAATTTCCCGCAATTTCAGGAGGCCTTCTTGCTCGCGCGTGCATCGCGGTCGGCGCGTGCGAATAGCAAAATGGCTGTCGGGAAACGTCAATACATCTTGCATTGAGCGAGCCTATCCTTTTTGTAAATACGAGCGCGTTGCGGGAAGACATCACGCCGGGGACGACGCATGCCGTTCGACTGACACGTCGGTCCGAGTGTATCGTAGTCACGTGCACGGGAACCGTGCGTGCGTGCCGACGGGATGGCGGAGTTCGTGCGCGGTGGACCCAGCGTGGGTGCCAAGGTATGTACCCGCGACGCGGAACAGCGGAAGCGTCACTCACCGTTGCACTCTTTCTCAGCGTTGCAAACAGTCTCACATTTCACCTTATTTTATAAAAATTCCCTCCGATTTATTCCTATCCTCGCATGGCTGTTCTCTGTCGCGGAGACACAGAACTTTATCTTCCGACTTGTGCCCACCGTTCTGTTGTCGCCCGACGTCGAGATCGATTAGACACGCACGTCGTGCTTTTAATGACGAAAAAATTTATTTTATATGCGTCACAATTCTAGATTCTATGTTAGAATTGGAGTAAGACACATTTACATGAAACTATGGCTGTTAAGGATGTCAAAATGAATTAGATCATAGCGTGAGAATAAGCGTTAGTTAAATAGATAGATTATAAATGAATACTTTGTTTCATTGTTTTATCTTAGATGGAGCACAACAGCAAAGGTGGCTCTCCCAGTACGGGAAGTGAGGATGGTGGTCAGAACGAATCATTGAACGCGGAGAACGAATTTGATCCTTTTCTTGAAAATATACCGGATGATATACAAGACGCAGAAGAGCCCGATGGCGCGAATGCTACTCTGTTAACAGCACCACCGGAGAACCAGTGAGATTCGAATATTAAATTTTATTGACTTTTCACATAGTGATACTTCTGAGATAGAACTGGATAAAAATACAAGGCAATACGAACCATTATTTGATTAGAAGATCAAGAAGACTTGATGATTGTAGAATTAAAATTAAATGCAATCTTTTACAGATGGTATCATGGTAGATTAGATAGATTTACAGCAGAGGAAAGACTGTGGGATGCAAGCAAAATGGGTAGTTATTTGGTTCGCGAAAGCGACAGAAAACCTGGAAGCTATGTTTTATCTTATTTGGGACGGACTGGAATAAATCATTTTCGAATCACAGCTGTTTGTGGAGATTATTATATTGGTATTAAGAATTCTTTATCATATCTATAATGTATTTATAACATTTAAAAAATATATATTTTAATTCTCATATTATTCAAAGGATATTTTAAAATGATACATTTAATGTAATTTTAAGATTTTAAAGGTATCTAATAACAAAGGATATTTATGATAAAAATGATATGAGTCGAAATTTATGGAATAAAACATTCAATTAATATTTGCAAAATATGATTTTCAATATGCAGATTAAATAATATGATATTAAATAATATATAAAACTTTCTGCACTTGTAATATTTTGCAAAAATTTTCGTTAGATAATTCCTAATCTAAAATAATGTTGTAGGCGGTCGTCAGTTCAACAGTCTATCAGATCTGGTTGCATATTATACTCATTGTTCGGATCTCTTAAAGAGAGAAAGACTTATACACCCGACACCACCACCCGAACCGGTGAACGATAAGAAACGAATAGTTGCAATACTGCCATATACAAAAATGCCGGATACTGACGAACTGAGCTTTCAGAAAGGGGATATATTTTTTGTGCATAACGATATGGGCGATGGGTGGTTGTGGGTCACTGCTCATAGAACTGGCGAACAGGGTTTAATATTTCGAGAATTAGTAGAGGATCTTGATGATTCCATAGATCCCAACACAGTGTTTTCTTGGTTTCATCCTAATGTTACCAAGAGCGAGGCAGTGGACATGCTAGTAAAAGCAGGACCTGGAAGTTTCCTAGTAAGAAAATGATAATTTTTTTGCATTTTAAATATTTTTCTTTCTATTGTATATTTCTTGTATGTTTATGTATTTTTATTGTATAGGTCAGACCATCGGACAATAGTCCGGGAGATTATTCACTTTTTTTCCATATAAACAATCAGATACAGAGATTCAGAATTGAGAAAAAGGGAGTACGATATCTTATGGGTGGTAGAACATTCGAATGTCTCGATGCTGTAATTAACAGGTAATATTTTTCATTGTTTTTTTTTTATAAAAAGTAATATTTGTAATTACGTTCTTATTTTATCTTGTTTTGTAATGTCACAGATATCGAAAGGAACAAATTGTGGAGGGACATACTTTGGTTCAAGCAATGGTAACCGAACCTGATGGTAGCGTTAGAGTAAATAGAGAAGTTCAACATGCCGAGAAAATATATGCGACTTTGAGGGAATGCCGAGAGCAATCAGGAGCGAAGAAGAATAAAGGGATTAAAATGCAAGGATATTTGGAAAAGAAATCAGAGAAAAATAAAAAATGGAAAGCATTGTACTTTGTCTTATTAGTGGATGCTACCGATACGCATCTCTATCTATACGATAATCCGAAAAGGACAAAGCCGAAAGGTCTCATTGACTTAAGTTGTGCTTATTTATATCAGGTGAGAAATTATAATCAGAATGTTGAACATTGAACATATCATACATTAGCATTAACATAAAAACTCAGAGTGTTTAAAAACATTTAATAACAAATAATTGTTACTGTAACACGCATGACTTACATGTGCCATATCTTATTCAGCAAATGAAGGAATAACATCTTACCGAAATTTCGCGCGGAATGAGTTACCGAAATGTCTTTTTAGGTCCACGAAAGTGTGTTTGATAGGCCTCATTGTTTCCAATTAGTTGAACGTGCTTTACCCTGTCTGGCCACTATAACTTATCTGGCTGCCCCAAATTCCGAAAACGCATTAGACTGGATTAATGCCTTGAAACCATTATGTGTATCACAACTCACTCGTGCTCCGAAAGTTGCCCGCCTTCGTGAATTACGTTCATTGCATCTACATATCTTAGACGCGCATAGACTTCCATACAAATTAGTTCCAAATCCGTTTATTATAGTGGCTTTAAACAATGTTAAAGTCGCTCGCACGAAGGTAAAAACGGGATTGCATCCGCTCTGGGATGAAGAATTCATTCTAGAGTACGTATATGAATCTTATGTGAATTGATGTTCCGATATATAAATCTTATATGCATTATGTACCTTATATTTGCTTCACAGAGACGTACCGCCAGACGTTATGTCCTTTGCGCTTACTCTGTACAACAAAGGTAAGCGTAGCAAGGACACAGAAGTTGCGGAACTAACAGTCGAGTTGGCGAGTTTAACTAATGGGGAGGAAATGGACGAATGGTATCCGCTATCGGGAATGACGCCAATCGGAGAATGGGGAGCATTGCGTTTACGCATACGGTAAAAATTAAGAAACTCGCTAATTGCATGCAAAATTATAAAATGTGATATATGAAAGAATTATCTTATAAATTATTGTACATTTATAAAAATATATTACAGTTACAGACATGATTTAGCTATGCCTCCTGAAGAGTATAGTCCTCTTCAGCAATTATTATTGGATCCAGAATTGCATGTTGTCAAGGCTTTAGCGGACGTATGTCATTTAGATAGAGTACCCTTGGCAAATAGTCTTCTTAGAATTTTTAGGTACAAATAATTACCTTGTTATTTAATTCTAAATGTTCGTTGATTTTAATACTATTGATTTTTTAGGCATGAAAGAAAAGAGGCGGATCTTCTGCGATCATTGAATCAAGCTGAAGTGAGTTGTAATGATTGATATATAATATTATTAAATATAGTATAGTAATAATATTATTAAATATATAAAATCATATAAACATATAAAAATTATAAAATGTATTTTAATTAGGTTGAGAAAGAAGATGAAACGCCAACATTATTTAGAGCTGCCAGTCTTACTACCACTTTAATGGATTTATATATGAAATCTGTTTGTATTTCGTTTTTAAAGGCCGCTTTGCGTGATACAATCGTGAAATTAATTGAAAGTAAGCAAAGCTGTGAGTTGAATCCAACAAAAATGGATTCTCCGGAAGATGCGTGCAGTAATGCAGAATTTTTACTACAAGTATTTACAAATTTTTTTGCAATGATGACTAGAATGCAATTAGTAAAATTTGCAAAATATTATTGTATATATATATATATATATATTATTTTTTGTTTAGGTTGTTGGACGTAAGTTACTATTG